CAGCTAGCACTCAAACTTGCCAACCTCCTGCCTCAGCCTCCCCACTGGTGGGGTCACCGGCGTGTGCCCTGGAGCCGGCAGCATGGCAGCACTCTGTTCTCCTGTTCCCTAGAGAGTGGCAGGATTTGGGGAGCGGGCAGCACACAGCCCTCCGAAGCTTTGGGTTGGGGTGTGCTCAGTATTCGGAAGGGAGGTGTGGGCTTCATCTGTGCTGGCCTGGGGGAGCCTTTGTGCAGACTGTGGGTATCTATAGCTACCGTGCACCTCGCCTTTAAATGCACCCAGTTAGCAGTTATCATCCACCCTCGCCACAGCCTGGCCCCTGCTGGGTACCTGCTGCTCAGGCCCCAGGACCGGGCCAGCACCCCCCAGGCTGTGTACCACTTCCCGTGGGGCCCAGGCACCATACCTGGTCTCCTGTCTGGCAGGGGAAGTGGGACCAGGGATCTGTAGGAGCTGCCCTGCTCCCTGAGCGCACTCACACTGCGCATGCGGTCCTGGGTCCTTGCGGAGTCCCAGAGCAGCGGGTTGGGCCGTCTCTGGGTCCCTGCTAGAGCAGTCCAAGGCCCAGGGTGAGGCAGGATCATCCGAGGACACCCAGAACCACATCCTGACCCTCATTATACAAAATAGCAGTTGGGCGTGGTGGCATATACCTGTCACTGCAGCACTCTGGGAGGCTGAGGCAGATCATAAGTTCAAGTCCAGCCTGGGCAATTTAGTGAGATCCTGTCTCAAGATGAAAATTAAAATAAATAAGTAAAAGGGCTGAGGATGAAACTCAGTGCCAAGGCCCTGGATTCAATCCCAAGTACCTCCAGATAAACAAAAACGTGTACCCCTCAGTTATGATCTAGTAGTCCAGCACCACTCAGTGAGGCCACCTTTTCTGTCTCTGCCCAGCTCTGCACACCCTGTCAACAGGGTCTCTGTCTTTTTCCTGCACAGTGCTCTCTCTCTCTCTCTCTCTCTCTCTCTCCGCACAGCATTCAGGGCTGCAGCTTCCCAAACTGTTACTCGCTGCAGGTGAGCAGTGCACATAAAAGCAGAGAGGTGTGGCTGGAGCTCCGCCCACCCTCCTCTGAATACCACACTGACACAGTCCCAGTGACTCCTCCCTTGGCTGTGACTAGGTCCCTACACACATACACGCACACACGCGTGCATGTGCACAGGGTCTGTAAATCAGTAGAGCAGCAACTGCACATGGACTGTAAATCACCTCTGATGGCTAATCAAGCCAGCACAATGTAAGTGCTATAAAACCGCTGTATTTTTGTAAAATAATGACAACCATTCTGTATGGTTTTGCCCCCGTCCTCCGCCCAGGAAGTTGAGTCTGCAGGTGCGGTGTGGGTCTGAGGGGACAACTGTGCCTACCCCACTGGTGCTGGGTGACTCTGCCACAGGCTGCGTCCCTCCAGGGCTACACAGATCATTACCCAGAATCCTTAGCAGGTACCACGGAGAGGTAGTTCTCAAAGTGGGGTCCCACAGAGAGCCGCAGCTGAGGGCCTGGCCAGAAACATGTGGAACGCAGGCCCCAGGCTCCTCCCAGGCCACCTGTCAGAACCCCGAGGGCGGGGCCTGGATATGAGTGTCTCCAGCACAGTGGCACACACATGTGATTCCAGAACTTTGGGAGACTGCAGCAGGAGGGTCAAAAGTTCTGGGGTTGCCTGGACAACATCATGACTTAGTGAGACCCTATCTCAAAACAAGAAATAAAAGAAGGGCAGGGGATGTAACTCAGTGCAAAGGCCCTAGGTTCAATCTGCAGTACAAAAAACGCTGACTGAGCCTACAGCCCTGAGTGTGGACGAGGTCAAAAGCAGGTCAGTACCGTGGGGCTCCAAAGAGGGCTGTCACCCACCACCATCACTGCACAGCGCAGCAGGGGGCCACACAGATTTCCCAGGCTCTAACAACTCTGGAAAAATCACTTTGAAAAATGCTTTTTGAGGGCTGGGGATTTAGCTCAGTGGTTCCGCCACCTGCCTCTAAAGGTCTTAAATTTGATCTCTGGTACCAGAAAAAAAAAAAAAAAGAAAGAAAGAAAAAGAAAAATAAAGAAAAGAAAGGAAAAAAAATGCTTTTGGAAATAATAAATACTCATAATGGGATTATGTGCACAGTCAGGTAGCAAACAATGATACGATGATTACATTCTCTTTAACTTTTGGGTGAGCTGGATGAGGCTACAACTGATGCAAGACCTGAATAAGTCATTACTAAATTTGTCTGTCTATTTGAGAGGGAAATAAGGCTTTGAAATAAGAATACACGGTTGCTCATTTTCTTATAAGCGAGTCCTGTCCTTCAAAATGAACCTCCCACCTTATCCAGGAGCTTCTCATCTTCGAATGGAAGGAAGTTCACAGTGCAGGGGCTGACACTGTTCCCCATCCAGGATGACAAAGCACTTTTGGATTCCTTTCCCAGAAATCTGCTAGGACAAAATACCTCTCATTGAACAGAGGAGAGAAAAGGCACGTTCACAGCAAACTCTTCAGTCTTGCGCACACGCCCTGGTCTGCTCAAAGGGAGCCATCCCTCTCTTGCTTCTGGACCAAACAAAACGGATTTCAGCAAAAAGCTCTCACTGCCTCTGAGGGAGCTCTGCTCACCCTGCATCCAGCTTCGGTCCAGAATCCCCAACCCACTACTTGCTGTTCACTTCTCCACTCAGGCAGGGCCTAAGCTCCAGCCAGGCCCTGCCTCTGGCTCGTTCTGGGGCGAGGACGCCAGGCAGTGGCACAGGACTTCTGTGGGCCAGGTGCACTCCACTCCCTTATGTCAAGCAAGTCTCACGGAATACGGACTGTGGATTCATAGCTCACCACGAAGAAGTAACCTATCCCAACCATCAGCAAAAAGATACTCCTGGGTAGGGATAGAAAACAGCTAACGTTGTGGCAGAAGCTCAGCTCTCACCAAGCACAGAAGGGGACATTCCGTGACAGTCCCAGGGCTGCCCGCGCCCATCTGGGTGCTTCAGGGCATGGTGCAGATGCCCAGCAAGGTGCTGGCTCCCTGGGACTAATTCACCAGAATATCACACGGTATCGTGGGGAGTTCACAAAGCATGGGTGGAGTGAGGAAATGCTGCAGTAAGGCTTTTGTGCCACCTTTCAAGGACACGGATAAGGAGGTCTGGATGTGGGGCCTCGTGGTGCCTTCATCACCCGATACCCTCCGCTTAACAGAGGACAGGCTGATTTGGGCTCAGGAGGGATGGGCATGGCAGAAGAGCCTGGTGGAGGAGGGTGGCGCCCTGCATGGTGCCTGGAAGTGGCCAGAGGAGGGAGGAGCCACGGACAGGCTTGCATACTCTGGGTCCCTCAGGGACCCCTCCAGCCAGGCCCTGCCTCTTACAGCACAGTCAGCCACAGACTCAGCCACGGATGAACCCATGACCCACCACCATCACACAGAGGAGGCCCTCAGGACATTTTAGGTTCAAAACCCTAAAAGGAAGTCCAGGGGACTGAAGTGAAGGACACACTGGGTGGACAGGGAAGGAGGACCAAAGGATCAGCTAGCAGAGCCAGACTGAGCCAGATGGGCCATGCAGAGTCAGATGGACAGACAGACGGACAGAGCAGTGAGGGTGTCAGGACTGCTGTGGAGGTGGGCTGAGGCACCTGCTGCCGGAGACCCCAGGGCCAAGCCTGGAGGGGTCTGGACTTGGTTTCTTTACATTGTAAGGAAACAAGCAAGAGAGGGCTGGAACTTAAAGACTAGCAGGGCTGTGATGTGCCAAGGTTGATGACACGGGGACACACTGAGGGATGCCAGGGGTCAGGAAGGGAAAGCAGCCTTGCTGCACCACGGTGTTGGTGCTGGGGTGGGCCGTCTCGGAGACACTGCAGTGGCTGGGCCCCCAGAGCCCAAGTGGCCCTACTGCAGACACCCTGTGGGACACACGGAGCTGCCACCTGACTGCCCTGGATAGTTCTGCTCAGCCGTCCACTCAGGCGGGAGTCAGAGCAGGAAGCTTCCTGTTTCTGAGTGCTCCGGTCTATGTGGGGGAAACAGGAGCTGTAGCTGTTTCCCTGTTTGCAGGGGGCACACATTAGCAGACCTTGGGTTGGTGCTGCCATGGGACCAAACCAAACACGAGGGTTTTCCTAGGGTTGAGCGCCACCTTTAGCTTGGAAGATGACCTTGACAGCTCATGCTGCTTTATTCCAGCTGCCAGCTCCACAGCTCTGCACTCTGGGGCCTTATGCAAATGAAATGAGGGTTCCTTGCTCACAGAAAAGTGAGTTCAGGACCAGCATCCCTCATGCCACAGCTCCAGGGAGACTGACAGGAGAGTAGCACATACGGTGCGGACAAGCTGCACCCAGGGATGATTTCTGTCCCTGGCAGGATGCAGCCTGACTGCGGAGATGTCAGGAGAGTGGAATTGAAAATATGAACAGTTTCTGGAGTTTTCCAGTTAGTATTTTGGGGCTGCCCTTGACTGCAGTTAACTGAAGCCATGGGAAAGAAAGCCACGGTTTGATGGTGCTGCCCAGAAGCGCCAATGCTGTGAAAAGGGAGGGCTTGAGGTTTCAAGTCCTGTTTGCAGCATCAGCCCTGGTGCTTTGACACCAGGGAAGGACGTGGCAGAGGACTCTGGAAAGCAGCAAGGGCTTCGAAGGGCTAAGGGGACACACAGACCGCAGGCTGCTCCCCTGCAGACCCTTCAGAGAACCCGCCGCAGTGCAGCCAGCAGACATGGTCAGCATTCCCGGGACCCGGGTTACTGTCACATGCTCCCGATTTCTCAAGGTACCACGCCCTTCTGATGTCCCACAAACAAACAGTTTCGGTGAAGGTCAGAGGGTCTCGAAATCCTTCCCTGTCCCACAACGAAGCTGTGAGGCATCTCGCCTTTGTTTCCAAATCGAGCCCAGTCGTTCACCCTGAACACTCTTCTCGCTGGAGCCACAGCCAAGAGCTGGGGAGCTGCCGGATGAGGGGCCCATTAAAGACGGCCTTCTCCCGCCTACCTTTTCTGGTGTCTTGTCCTGGACCAGTGGCCCGGCGCCTGAGGGAGGCGGTGGGGCCTGGCGCTTCTTCATCTCTGACTTCACCGACACCCCGGAGACGTTGCCCAGGGACAGGGATGGCCCCAAACTCAGGGAGCGTGGATGCTCAGATGGGGAGTTGGGCGTTGTCAGGCAGCCCTGTGGGGAGCAGAAGGTGGGTGTCAGCAGGGGCCTCTCCCCAGTGAGCCGTTCCCTCCCCTGGGAAAGGAGGTACAAAGACCCTGTTCGCTGCTGTCTGCAGCCTGTGGGAACACCGGCTGGCCCACCTCAGAGCCAGGGCCAGGGCCGAAAGGTCCTTCCCAGAGAAGAGGACCTCACCCTGCCACCCCAGTCTTCAGCTGCTTCTGCTGCCTGCTAACTCTCAGAGGCTAGGAAAGAACCCACACAGGGCCGAGACAGATGCCTGATAAAGGGAAAGACGTGACCCCATTCGGCCCTCACATGTGGGAAGCGGGCGAGGCCACAGGTGCAGTGCCCCTCATCCCTCGGTCAGTTAGATGGAACCTGTGGGTTCAGATGTCTATTAGCAGTGGCCGTGTGCTCACCTGGACTCACCACCTGCACCCTCCTGTGTGGTGGCAGGCAGGGCGCTGGCCCAGCCCACACCGGGCCCCTGCTGCCCACTGTGACTTGGGCTTTGCTGCCTGTGAGCCTTGCAGCCTTGGCACGTGCGTGACTCTGTGTCAGTCCATCTCCCACGACAGCGGCTCATGCTTTCAGCACCAGGACCGGCTCCCGGGATGAGATGAGAATGGTTTGGGGTGATTCAAAGGGCTCCCTGTTTCCTATCTCCTCTCTTTTAGTTTGCTTTTCAAATTACTTATATTTATGGTTTCTCATAGAAGAAGACTCATACGATACTTAACCTTCTGTGTCTGATTTATTTCATTCAGTTTTATGGTGTCAAGATTCATCCATTTTCCTTACAAATGACTGAAAGTCATCCTTCTTCCTAGTCAAGTAGTACTCCATGGTGTGTATATACCACATTTTCTTTATCCACTCATCTGCTAATGGGGATTTAGGCTGCTTCCATGATGCGCTGCTGCTAAATCTTTTTGAGTTTACATACAAGGCCCCAGGGTGAAATGCTCCAGAGGGCTTCATGTGGGGCCAGCTCCTGTGCTCTTGAGATGCTGAGCATCAAGGCACCCAGGGCTCCCAGCAGAAGCCAGCGAGAGCCTGGCATCAGCGCAGCTCTAAGCATTTGCGAAGGCAGCCCCTCCCCAGGGTCGCAGCCGAGTCCCTGCAGGGAGGAGTGCACGGCTCTCTCTTGCCTCCTGCAGCAGATAGCAGGGAAGAACACAGCAGGCGGCCCAGATGGGCGCGATCCAAACACCCCGGATGCCAGGTAAGGCCGCTGGCCCTCCACCCTCTGCACGGCGTGCATGGCTCCCTGGTCCTCATGCAGGCCGTGGGCCCTGAGTGGCGCTTCCACGAGACCATCCTGTGGGTGCCCACGGCACATGGCTCCAAGTTTGACCTCTGCCATCTGCTGCCATCCCAGGTGCCCAGGCAAAGGCCGGACAGACCCGAATCTGCAACCACAGGTTCATCACAGGGGCGCCTGCCTTGCGGTCAGGACCCCATCAGGCGAGAGCATGCAGACAGAGCCCAGGGCTTAGTGCATGGCTCCTCCTCTGATAAACGCTTTGCTTAGTGCCCCGGTGGGGCCACAGTGATATGATCTGGACAGCAGCCCATGTGCCCACCTGGCCTCTGCAGCCCTGCCTTCGGCTCCAGACAGGGCTGCCTCAGTGTGCCAGCTGCATCTCCGGGACTTGACCCCACTTTGACAACAGGTTGTGTTTTACCACTAAGTCTGCTGGATGCACTGTACAAACCCGTCCTCCACCTGCGCCTGGGACTCCAGGGCCGATTTTCACATCCAGCAGACTCCTCAGTTCTGCTACGCTGGACAACTTCTAACCAAGTTGCAGCTCACGCAGCCGAGGGTGCCAGGACCTCACTCCTCTCCGGCTTCTCCTGCCAACCCTGGGACTTGCATGTGGGATTCAGCACACAGCCCAAGACTAAGCATCAGATGGCTTCTAAAATCCCAAATCTGCAGTGCTAGGGGAGTGGGGAGCCAGCCCGGCAGGGCTCCACGTTCCAGCTTGGCTCTTGCATGGTGGCTGAGGTGAGCAGCACCCTCCCCGCAGGGGATGCGGCTTCCTGTGTCCATCCAAGACACTCAGTACTGGTTTTTTCTTGAGAAAGTCTTTTTCTGATAGCAAAAGTGAATTGTTTCTCCCTCCAAAGGTAAGCACCAAACTCACAGCTTAGCTAACGTAACCCTATCTGACTGCCTCAGAAGTTGCAGGTGCAGCTAGATGGGTCACTGAGAAAAAGTGATGGATGACACACACAGAAGACGACTCAGGCAAGTGCCACGTCTATCTCAGGCTTTGTGGGACTTTGATTTGTAGGCTCCGAATGTCCACTAGGGGACAGGAAAGAGGACAGTCAGACACCACCCTGTGGAATAGACGGGGAACTGCACCCAGCAGCTCCACGGGTCCTCAGTGACCAGAGCCAGAGTGGTCTGGGGTATGTGTGAGTGGGAGAAGAAGGGGAAACTAAGGATTTCCAGATCTGAGTGTCAGCTCAAAATGAGGCCATCGCCATCTGTGACTGTTGGGTTTGCCACACGACTTAGTTTAGACACAGATGCACACACATAGCGGATTGGTCTGAAGGGACTTACGCCTGCGGGCTGGATTTTCTCTGTAGCCCTGGCTTACAGTGCTGCTGAAAGAAGAGGAGCCCTCTGCGTGCAAAGCAGTCTGCAGCCAGAGCTGCACACACACACGCATATGCACACACACATGCCCCAGGGAGCCCCAAACCTGCCAAAGCCTTGCATCCCTGCGAAAGTCAGTGTGGCCTCTCCTGTCTGGGGCTGCTGGGCCAGCTCAGAGCGCCCCTGGCAGCAGGGACCACAGAGTCACCCAGGGCCCTGTGCTTGGGCCACTGGGAGCCACAGGGCCACAGGGAGCAAGCTGCTCCTCACTGCTGACTGGCAATCAGGCAGGGAGAAGACAGTGTCCACCCACAGCACTGCTTTCCCTCGGCACAAGCCACCTTCTCTCCGGTGGCCCTGTCTGTCACTTCGAGTGTCTGAACCCTGCCCCTGTCCAGCCCACAGTGCGCTTCCCTTCCTGGTGTGAGGTGCAGATGCCTCACTCAAAACTGAAACTGCTCTCGCGCTGATTTCACAACAAGGGTGAAAGCCTCTCTGCTCCCATCTCTGAGAGCCCCTTTCTGGCCACAGGGAAGATAACCTGGGGGGGCAAAGCAGTTCTTTAAGGCCCAGAAAGAGGGAGTTCTCTGCACGAGCCCCCAAGGGATGGCAGTGTATGGGTTTAGAGGAGCAGCTCAGGGCGACACAGCCGGGTGCTGAGCTGGAGGGATACTCCCTCCGGGCCGACACCAGCCGCCCCCTGGATGGCTCTGGGTCTCAATGCTTTGGCAGCGGGGCAAGGATCCCCTAGTGTGGTCCTGCAGCATGCACAGGAAAGGACACCCTTGGCTCCAGGTGACGCATGACCCACGAAGCTGCAGCCACACCTGGGAAAGGGTCCGGTCCCTGCACAACAGCCGAAAGGTGAGGCATGGGCAGGGAGGTGTGGGAGGGAAGGCGCCCAAAAGAGTGATGGCGTCTAAGGAGCCATAGATGCAGTCACCTCGGACACCCTCACCCCCAAATTTATGTGAGCCCTGTCGGTTCAGAAGAGAAATCAAATGCCACACGTGTTGGAAAACAAAGCTTCCTGCCCGGTCCTTGGCCCTGCTGGGTCCTGGGTCAGACATGGCTTTGCCTTCACTGACACAGGTCATGAGAGGGCGGAAGGGGCAGTTGGGGAAGCAGCAGGGCTAAAAAAAAGTCCCCTTGCTTTGTCTTTCTGTGTCTCTCTCTTTTCTTGGCAGTACCTGGGATTGAACCCAGGGCCTTCACACTGATGCAGACCTG